AGTCAATAACACTGAAAAGAAGTATCTGTTTTTGATTTAGTAGGGTTTTGGTGTGATTATGCAATCATACTAATATACTAAAATTAGCTAAGCATGATGTGGACACTTTAGGAGGGTTACCTGAAGGCATCATGAACAGGGCACATACGGGAACTTTAGACACCCAGAGCTGCCAGGTTTGTTGAATCCCCCATTTGGGAAGCCTAGGTTTTGAAGCGTGCACGTTCATTTCATGAAGCTGCAGTATATGGTCCAACATTTATTCAGGACCATCCCATAGGATATGACCACTCAGAATAATCCTCAATATCGTATTTACTACAAACTGTATTTGTTGATATGATTTGAATCAACACTGATCACATGTCAGTGAGTTACAGATACTGGTAATATGCTAAATGAATAATACACGTGTGTATTATAAAGCTGGGGATTATCCACAATACACATGTTACCATTCACCATTGGCTGTTTTAGGTACAAAAGTATGTCGCTGAGTGCAGTATTGTATGTGCTGATGTAATTTTTAAGATAATCCATGTGTTATTCTTCCCTACTGTGTTTGCACAAGTACTATATCAAAACATCATTATCGACTTTTATCATGTTGTATTATGTTATACTGCACCTGATGAAAATGATATTGCAGTAATTATTGATATTGTTTAATTGCCCTGGAAGCAAATATCAATAAGAAACATCAACATTAGGAACAAGAAGTTTTAGATATTTCCAACTATGATTTGCACAAACACCAGCAACAATCACCCACACCCACAAACCACCATCAAAAACAGCGATGGCAAGTGTGCATGTTGAGTTTTTACTATAGATGGATAAACAACCCAACCTGGACCGTATGGACGGGTTCTTCTCTTCTGTTCCTAAATTGTTTCGGAGACAGACCTGCAGTTCTCCAGCTCCTGATAGGGGGATAGCGTGTGGCGCATCTGGCAACCCTAGCTGGGCCGTTCACGAGGTTCTTCCTTTCTCAGCCAGCACCGTTGAGGCGAGTGAGTGCGTGGCCTGGATGGGCTGGTGAAATTAGTCCAAATCCCCTCGAGTCAGTCCATTTGGAGTTTCACTAGAACACCGCCAACATGCCGGCGTATTTCCAGCGGCCGGAGAATGCTCTGAAACGAGCGAACGGTAAGCGGAGCGGCGGCCTCGCGTCTCACGGAGATCACACACTCCTGCTAACTCAGCTAGCCGTTAGCCGAATTCACCCTTCTAATGCCTCGTCGCCGTAAGGCTGCAGCTTAGTTAGCTAGGCTAACTGCTAATGCTAGCATGAATGGCGGGGAAGCCATGTCTCTTTCACCCAGCTGGCGTCAGTTTTAAGCTAGCCGGCGTGGCCGTTATCGTAGCTTCCACTGACGTTAACAGCCATAAACGTTAGAAACAAATCTGCAATGTTAGCGTTAACACGAATGTCCGCTCTGAACGCTACAGATTCTGTTACCATCTGTTAAATAAGCAGGACATTTAACACCGAGCATCATCACATTTACATTTAGGGCAATTAGCAGACGCTTTTGTCCAAAGCGATTTACAATGAGTACATTTGTCACAAGAGAGAAACCACAACATATCACCGTCGATGGGGTAAAACGAAATACAGAAACAATTGTCAAGCCCTCATCTGAGGATCGTAACTGCAGGTGGTTGACAGGCCCGACTGTCGACCACCGTGTTGGGTTGGAGTCGATACGAGATGTCAGAGGCATTTTATTTTACATCACTGACTTGTGTTGTTATGATTTGTTTTTCCAGAGTTTCTCGAGGTTGGCAAGAAGCAGCCAGCCTTGGATGTTTTATACGATGTCATCAAGAGCAAGAAACATCGAACATGGCAGAAGATCCACGAGCCCATCATGCTCAAGTACCTGGAGCTCTGCGTGGATCTTCGCAAGAGCCACCTGGCCAAGGAGGGTCTCTACCAGTACAAGAACATCTGCCAGCAGGTGTGTGATGGTTTTGCAGGTTGGGTAGTTTTATGCACCAGAGTCGTTCAGAGTTGAAGTGGAATCTCTTTCTCTGCCTTCAGGTGAACATCAAGTCTCTGGAGGATGTGGTCAGGGCTTACTTGAAGCTGGCGGAGGAGAAGACTGAGACGGCGAAGGGGGAGTCCCAGCAGATGGTCCTGGACATTGAGGATCTGGACAACATCCAGACCCCAGAAAGGTGAGGGTCGTACAGGAACCAGGCTGCCGCTGGTGTCTTATATTGCTTAGACCCAGATTTCTAACTTTGTATTGTTGGATGACTGTTTGTTAATCTCACCAGTGTAGGTAAAGTATCATTTTGAGGGTTGTGTTAAAGCGATGATGCGTTCTTAAAGTTGAGTGTGCTGTGACTTCAGTGTGCTCCTGAGCGCTGTGAGCGGAGAGGACACTCAGGATCGTACTGATCGCCTGCTGCTCACTCCCTGGGTGAAGTTTCTGTGGGAGTCATACCGCCAGTGCCTGGACCTGCTCCGAAACAATTCCAAGGTGGAGCGGCTGTACCATGACATCGCCCAGCAAGGTAGAGACACATACTGAATATTTTACTAAGTATATTTTGTACTGATCTTATGATGTCTAGATGTAACATGATGTCTTTTAAAGTTACATAAAAGATTCTGTCAACAAAATATTTTTGAAGCCATATCGGTAAATTTTAATGAAAGGCTAAAATATGTAAAGTACATGGAAGTGGCCTCATGTTAAAAATGATGAATACTATCACCTCAGGTGGAAAGAAGGGAGTTCATCTTTTATATCTCCCATTAGCAAATTTAAATCTGAATTTTCAATGTAAATGAGCCTTTTATATTCACTTTATTTTGACAAGATTATACTTAATACTTAATGATAACTAATTACTTGCTGAATGTTGCATAGTCAATGCTGTTAATAAAATCTGGCCATCTTTTCTGCAGCATTCAAGTTCTGCCTTCAGTACACCCGCAAAGCTGAGTTCCGTAAGCTGTGTGACAACCTGCGTATGCACCTGGGGCAGATCCAGCGCCACCATAACCAGAGCACGGCCATCAACCTGAACAACCCTGAAAGCCAGTCCATGCACCTGGAGACACGGCTGGTGCAGCTGGACAGTGCCATAAGCATGGAGCTCTGGCAGGTCTGTCCTCCTAACACTGAGACCTTAAATAGATGACTAAAACTGTCCATACATAATTATGCTCAGTAATGCAAATCATGTAGTGTATGACTTAAAGAATAACTAAACACATATCGGATCTTGTCTCCTGTACTAAAATTGGTGATCACTGGGCAGAGTGATATTTGTACTGATATTTGCAATGTTGTTTCTATTTCCAGGAAGCCTTCAAGGCTGTTGAAGACATCCATGGCCTGTTTGCTCTTTCCAAGAAGCCTCCCAAACCTCAGCTGATGGCCAACTACTACAACAAGGTGTCAACTGTGTTCTGGAAATCTGGAAATGCTCTTTTCCACGCCTGCACCCTCCATCGCCTCTATCACCTGTCCAGGGAGATGCGTAAAAATCTGACCCAAGATGAGATGCAGAGGTATCTTAGTCGTTATCTCTAGAGAAGTGCATATGTTTACTGTGAAGACTAAATGTTAATAAAACTTTCAATCTTCAGGATGTCCACCAGAGTCCTCCTGGCCACACTGTCCATCCCCATCACCCCTGAGCGCACTGATATTGCTCGGCTGTTGGACATGGATGGCATCATTGTGGAGAAACAGCGCAGGTTGGCCACGCTCCTGGGTCTCCAGTCTCCACCAACCCGCCAGAGTCTCATCAATGACATGGTACATTATGTGATTTAGGTTTTGTGGGTTAGGTCCCCCTTAACACTTTGATATTGTACTTTTGAGAACTCTTCTTATGAAAAATCAGTCAAACCTTTCACATTTTACCTTATAAAACTGCGAATAAATATTTGATTATGTTTAACAAATGTTTGTTTCATGTTTTCATACTAGGTGAGATTTAATTTGCTACAGTACGTTGTCCCTGATATCAAAGAACTTTACAACTGGCTGGAGGTCGAATTTCATCCTCTGAAATTGAGTGGAAGGGTCACCAAGGTAAGGAATAGAGCAGCATCTGTCACATAAGTCTGTAAATTAAGAAAATATACTGCTGGTTTTAGGCTGCAGTTAACATGGTCATTAAACTGAATGTACTGTAGCTACTTATTTCAGCATAATTTAACAGTTAATGTCCCACTAGGTATTGACCTGGGTGAAAGACCAGGCTGAGAAGGAGGCTGATCTGCAACAGTATGTTCCTCACCTGCAGAACAACACCATCCTCAGGCTCCTGCAGCAGGTATTCCTTTTTCTTTTTTTTTTTCATTCCTCAGGAATGCACCTAGTAACATCTACATATCAATGATAGTAATTGTTTATTATTCTGCATCCATTATTTTAGGTTGCACAGATCTATCAAAGCATTGAGTTCAACCGTCTGGCCTCCCTGGTTCCGTTTGTGGACGCCTTCCAGCTGGAGCGCTCCATTGTGGATGCTGCTCGCCACTGTGATCTGCAGGTAAAGTCAACATAAGGAAACACTAAGGCATTTTGTAACCATTAATACTTTTTGCGGTCCCGCAAGTGTTTTTACAAAGAATGAGCATGGATGTTATGACTTAAAAATGATGAATCAATTTCTTATCTAACTAATCGGATGTGTTTTGTCCCTCAGGTCAGAATAGATCACACCTCTCGAACTCTGAGCTTTGGATCTGACCTGAACTACTCAACCAAAGAAGACGCTCCTGTTGGCCCGTTCCTACAGAACATGCCCTCAGAGCAGATCAGGAATCAGCTGACTGCCATGTCTTCTTCTCTGGCCAAGGCAATCCAGGTCATCAAGCCTGCCTCCCTCTTGGTAAGCCTTCCTCTTATACCCTTTTTACACTAAATATTTATGTATATGCCAGATTTTTAGGCACGGGTAACCGCACAAACGTTGACTAGATTTCCCATTGCCAGTAGTTTGACTTAAGGCTTTTCTGTTATTTTCAAAGTCACAAATGTGTCATAGGTAAATAATTAAGGATGGAAAACAGCATGGAGGCATGTTTCAGCTGTTACTTTTTAAATATTTTTTACTACAGTCCCTTAAAGCTCATTGCAGACTGAGCAATGTTCAAGTGCTGCTGGAAATGAGATGCATGGAATTCCTGGCTAAAATGGCATCAAGCATATATGACTTATAACGACATATAATGCACGTTAAAGCATCATGCAGGAATGGGGACATTCCAAAACTGCTTGTTCGCCTCGGTGTATTGATCCATCAGTGGTGATCAGAGCTGTAGCTGATAAATACCTGTGACTACTGCAAAGTCATGTGACCTGAGAATGAATGTTGTTTGTACCATTACCCACCGAGGACAAAGCCAGGCGTTAGTGGGTCTTTTGTCGAGTGAGAAAGGGGCTTTACTGAGCTCAGGTATAGATGCACAGTGACTAGTCAGTGACCAATATTAACTTTAAACATACTAGCGTGTAACACAGGCATGTATCCCTTTTTTGTTATAGTGCCATGCCTTTATTCTTGCACTGTAAACTGCATTTGGTGTTTTTATCCTTTTCAGCAAGAGCGTGAGGAGCACAGCCAGCAGGCCATCGCTGCCTACCTGAAAAATGCACGCAAGGATCACCAGCGCATCCTGGCTCGCAGACAGACCATTGAAGAGCGTAAGGAGCGCCTGGAGAGCCTGAACATCCAGCGTGAAAAGGAGGAGCTGGAACAGCGGGAAGCTGAGATGCAGAAAGTCAGAAAAGCTGAAGAGGAGCGTCTCCGCCAGGAGGCCAAAGAAAGGGAGAAGGAGCGCATCATGCAGGAGCATGAGCAGATCAAGAAGAAAACAGTCCGTGAAAGACTGGAGCAGATCAAGAAGACTGAACTTGGGGCCAAGGCCTTCAAAGATATTGATATTGAGGTAAAATGTAGTGACAATAAACTAAATCAAGATCCATATAGCAAAAATGCGTCATTGCAATATTCAATTAATATCATGAGAATAACAAATGTGTGTTATACAGGACCTGGAGGAGCTGGATCCCGACTTCATCATGGCCAAACAGGTGGAGCAGCTGGAGAAGGAGAAGAGGGAACTCCAAGAGCGTCTAAAGAACCAGGAGAAGAAGGTAACTGAGTGAGACATCAGTGTTGACGATCTCTTATTTACTTATTAAGTGAATTTGACACTTTTTTTTTTCTCCAGATTGACTACTTTGAGAGGGCAAAACGCCTCGAGGAGATTCCTCTGATCAAAAAAGCTTATGAGGAGCAGCGCATCAAGGACATGGAACTGTGGGAGCTCCAGGAGGAGGAGAGGGTAGGTTTAATAATAAAGAAAACTTGTAAATCATTTTACAAATTTGAATCAAGGAAATTCAAGACTTCCAGAATGTAATAATTTTGCCTTTTGTTGTAGATCAGTAACATGAAGGTTGAACGGGAGAAGGCTCTGGAGCACAAAAATCGCATGTCCAGGATGATGGAGGACAAAGAGAACTTTTTGTCTAAAATTACTGATGCCAGGAGCTTCATTTATGAGGTAATTCAATTTAACTTTATGTTTGTAGTGCCAAATCAGAACCTACATTACTCTAAGGCCTTTTAGAGTGACGTACAGACCCAAAATTATAGACAGAATCCCACGAGCCAAGTTGGGTTGAGAGGAGAAACCATTCAGTCCTTTCATCAGGCTATGCTGAGAACTTGTGATTGAAGCAATGCTCTAATGTTCACTTCTGTCTTTCAAGGAAAAACTGAAAGCCTTCCAGGAGCGTTTGGTGGAGGAGAGGAAGAAGCGTCTGGAAGAAAGGAAGAGGCAGCGAAAAGAGGACAGGCGTAATGCTTACTACCGCCAGAAAGAGGAAGAGGAACAGCGTATCCATGAGGAGTCTCTCAAGAAAGGTAATAAATCTCTGTTTGCACATGTGCATGAGGACAGAGAAAGGAGAGGTAGGGTTGCATGTTCCGAAGGAAACGGAAATACACTGAATTCCTTGGTGCTTAATATGTATTTGAAAGGAAAACTCTGGAGACAGTCCCGACCCAGTTCCTCTGCAGGTCATGTTTGAAACGGCTATAAATATATTTTGATAGCTGATTGTGGCAGCAAGTGTGTTGCACCATACTTTTTAAAATCTGCAAAAAGTGGTAGGTCTTTTTCAGTACAAGTTAATGTAGTTTGAAGAATCCTCAAGTTATTTTTCTATATATATTACAGAGCGCGAAGAACGTGAACGCGTGGAACAAGAGCAGCGAGAGGAGGAAGAGAGGGAGTACCAGGAGCGTCTGCGCAAGCTTGAAGAGCAGGAACGCAAGCAGCGTGCTCGTCAGCAGGAGATCGAGGAGCGAGAGCGCCGTCGTGAGGAGGAGAAAAAGGCTCCAGCAGAGGAGAGACCCAAGGTACAAATGAGCTTTATTTTTAACAGATGGAAATTTGATGCAAATATGTTGTAGGTATGAATTCAAATATGATTTCACATGATATGATACCTAGATACATTTTATATTGTGAAGCCTCAGGTACATAAAATAATAAAATAAATTAGTTTTCTACATTCTGAAATACTAAACCAGAAAAACAAGTAACAAGTTACTAAAATGTTCAGGACAGATTGCAGAGAAACGTTGCACTAAGTATTACTATAAGTGATATGAAAGAGTTCCTTGTCGTATGAGGATGAATTAGCTCTGTAGACGTTTGAGTGTTCCCGGTGTGACAACACAATGTGTCTTTATGTTTTGCTTACACAGGAGTGGGGTGAAAAGGAGGAGGGATGGAGGAGGCGCACAGACGGAGGTGACTCAGAATGGCGTCGTCCTGTGCCTGACAGGTTTGTGTTGGTAACTCATCTGACTTCTAATTATTTCCATTTAACCAGTAAGAGCGACTCTAACATGACCTCTCCTCACTCTTCCTCTAGGGAGAGTAAACAGGAAGGCCAAGATGAAGAGAGCGAGGACAAGGAGGTGCCCTTCAGGCGAGCTGAAGTTCCTCGCAGGGTCGGAGAAGACAGAGGACCCCGTCGGGGCTTTGATGATGATCGAGGCCCACGTCGTGACGATGATCGTCCTGCACGCAGAGGCTTTGATGATGATCGTCCTGTACGCAGAGGCTTTGATGACGATCGTCCTGTACGCAGAGGCTTTGATGATGATCGTCCTGCACGCAGAGGCTTTGACGATGATCGCCCTGTACGCAGAGGGTTTGACGATGATCGTCCTGCACGCAGAGGTTTTGACGATGATCGCGGTTCCAGGCGTGGCTTTGACGATGATCGCGGTCCCAGGCGTGGCTTTGACGATGATCGCGGTCCCAGGCGTGGCTTTGACGATGACAGAGGTTCACGCAGAGGCATGGATGACTCAAGGGGTCCTAGGCGTGGGGCTGATGATGACTGGGGCCCCAGAAGAGGAGGAGATGAGGATGGAGGTGGAAGGAGAGGCATGGATGAGGGGCCACGTCGCGGTGACGATCTCAAACCATGGAAACCCCTGGGTAGACCTGGTAAGTCTGCAGCTGATAAGTGATTGTTACATTTATCAGTAAGGGTGTTCTGATCAGGATTTTGGATCAAAGGCTCTATGGACCTTTTTACTTGCGTCTTGGGGGATCCAAGTGACCACTTAGGATCGAATTTCTCTTCCCTGCTGTATAAGCAAATTAACACTGCAGGGCTGAATCCTATTTAGAATTTAGTTAGTAAATGTCCATTATTCCTTTTTTTATTTCAATTCATTGAACTCTTGTATCAGTGTCTGTGTCAGCAGCTGCAGGAGTGATGCTGTGCTGGATTTTATAACTGAACTAAATGAGCAGGACACAACTTTCTCTGACTGTGTGGAAATTTAAAGTGTTTTCACATCACAGATAGATGATGAAAAAATTTAATACCAGGGAAAGGAGAAATGTGCATCCTCTTCACACCACGCAGCGTCTGTCCTGCCGGGCTGTGGCTCTCACCCTGGAGTCGCACACAGCAGACCACAGTAGGGGAGGTTATACAACCGGATCAGACAGACCACTCATTATAGAAACCGCTCTATATACACAAATAAACACGTACGCCACACTGTTTGCAAAGATGAAATGTGTTTTGTTTTTTTGAAGAGAAAGACAAAATGAGTTTTAACCAACACTACTGAGCCAACCCACAAAGTCACACCTGATCAGATCCTCTGATCAGTGTTTATAGAGATCGGCGATCAAACTAATTAGAGAGAATAACGGACGATACGATCGGTGGCCGATCAATCAGACCACCCTTACTTACCAGTGGGACTAGTCTGTGTTTGAATGTAATGCTTAACAGGATGGTGAACCAATGCCTTTGTTGCAGGTGGCTGGCGTGAGAGGGAGAAGGCCCGAGAGGACAGCTGGGGACCTCCCCGTGATGATGCCCATGATAATGAAGATGAGGGCAAAGAAGAGGAGAGAGACAGCGACCGCTTCAGAGACCGTCGTCCACAAAGGTGGGCCTAACAGAAAACCTGTGTCCGAACTGTTGATGATATTTAAAAGTTTTTAGATAAATACAGTGAGCTGTTTTTAATGTGTCACTGTAATTACAGAGAGGAAAGTGCCTGGAGAAAAGCAGGAGATGAGGAGGGAGGAAGCGGCTGGAGAGACTCTCGCAGAGAGGACACTGGCCGGGTTGATCGCGTTGACAGGGGTGAACGTGTTGATCGGGGTGATCGCGACGACCGCCGTGATAGAGACCGCCGGGATGACCGCGAACAAAGAGCCCCACCCAGAGATCAGGATGGAGGTAAGCAGAGCAGGATTGAGGGATGCAAAAATATTAGAATGCATCATAGTTTTGCTTAAAGAAGTGATGTAATTAAAATCTATCGACAATACTGCTAAACTAAAATATTTCTAGTGTTCTTATTGACATGCAGCTTATGGCTGAACAAACCTGCAGTGACAGGCATTGGTCGAACCAACTTTTAATCATCCAAATAGATTCATCAGGTCATCAAATAGAATAAAATCCCTTAAGTGGGTGGTGCCTTTTATTTAGCACTCCTGTCTTACAAAATAATTTGGTACCCTGTAGTGATGTATTCAGCCAGCAGGGGTCGATGTTGGTGTACATACCGACTCCTTCCCCAATATACATTTTCAAACATCAGTATGCTTTGGTATATTCTGAAACCAACATGAACTGATGATCATCTTTGTTTCCTCAGGAAGCTCTTGGCGTCGTGGAGGTGACGATAAGAGGGAGGAGAGGGACAGGGACCGTCCCAGAGAGAGGGACCAAGAACAAGAACGTGGGGATGCTGACGGAGAGAGGGGTTGGCGTACTGACAAAGAAATCCCTCGTCGCACCAAGAATGAGACAGATGATGATGGCTGGACCACTGTCCGCCGCTGAGCAACAGTTTTTGCATCTCTTTGGCTCTTATGATAAATTGGCTTCTGATATTCATGTGTGTTAATTTTTTGGATGAAATATTTGTAGACGGTAGTTTTCCCGGGAATACTTTCCTTTTATTTTGAGTTTCAGCTGTTCTGACAGAGGCTTTCTACCACCTCAAAAACATCAGCTAATGAGCTTGTGTCCAGTTAGGCCCCATGCATACCATCTATCTTAACATGACTGCCCCCAGTGGTTTGGAGTGTTATTGCCTAATATGAGAGGAGAAGCTGATAAAACTGAAAACCAATGTACCTGCTCCAACTTCCAATGCAAACTCAGTGTATCACCAAATGCCTATTTTGAACAACTAACCTTTGCATAAACATTATATGATAAAACACTTGTAATAGTAACAATCATCAGCCTCACTGATAATCTGCTCTTCATCTCAGTTTCAGATGGTCCTTAATGATCTAGTGGAAGTTTCCATTTCGATACGTTTGCTTCAGATTTCGATTGGGCTCGTTCAATATCCCGCGTGTGCTTCTATCTTGCTGCAATTGATAACAAACCAGGTTGCATGTGTACAGATGAAGCCTTTATTAATAAAGATGTTTGCTCAACACATACGTGTTCATGTCTGATAAATGCTTTTTTCACTACAATTTATATGTACTTGCTCGAAACAGTGAGAGGGCATCACTGACTTGCATATGGGGGGTGACATTACTATTTTACATGATACTATTTATTGTAAGTATTGTCATTACTACTATAAGCTGGTGCAGCTATAAGTAACAATTACATCTGTGGGTATCACTATTATCTTCATTGTAACAACCAGTATGACAGTTAACTGTTCCTGATTGCTCTCCTCTCTTTCTTCTCCCCTCTTTTCCACCCACCTCTCCTCTACCCCATTTCTCTCCTCCCACTCCAACCAGTAGAGGCAGTCATCCACCCACATGGAGTCAGGTTTTGTAACGTTTCTTGTTTTTTGTTTTTCCACTGTTACCAAGCATTAGTTCATTGTGGGAACTATTGGGCCTCTGTAACAGAGTGAAGTCTGGACTTCACTATGTGAAGTGCCTGGAGACAATGACTTGAACCTGTGTCAGTTATTTCCTCCATAACCTCCAAAAGACTGGTTTAAGATGTCATAGCAGCTCCTTCTACAAACATAGTGTCTGTATTATTGATGTTAGTGAATTATAGTGTATTAATAGTGAACTATTTGAGTGATGCAGACTGTTCACTGAAAGTGCTCCAAAAACAATCCGGGTTTCTGTGCCAGCTCACGTCTACATGCTGCAGCACCAGTGAAATTAAACAGTTTTTCATTTCGTTGGAAACTTGCTGGATCTCTGCTCTCCAGCTACTTAAAGCTCTTCTGACCGCAGCTCTGGGACTGCTTCGCCACGCTACGCGTTGTAACCACCAGAGGTCGCTGCAGCACCGTGCAGAGGCCTCTGACGCCTCAGTGTGACCGCGTGTTGGTTCGAGTCGGTGCTCAGCAGTGAAGACACTAAAACTACAGAACATATTAACATGTGCGGGGTTTACAAACCAGTGGCATACTGTTATAATAATGAGAACAATAATATCACACAAGCAGAACAACATGTGTATGTCTTTAATTCAACTTCTGCCCGACTTATAGCTACGAAGTGCTATAATGAATAATAACAATAATTAAATAATAGTGATTATTATTGGAATAATAGTGCAGATCATGGTGAAGACACGGACAGATATAATTAGTCAATATTGCACAACAATAGCTCTTTTTTTAGTTTACAAAATGAACATATTAGGCAAGTTAAAATACAACTCCCACTGACTCCTCTCAGTGTTGAGAATAACAGTTTAAAATGTCAGATCGGTAGTGTTGTGTGTTCTAGAGCTGCTGAGGCTCGTGACTGCTTCACTGTTTGGTTTCAATTTTATTCTAGAGCCTCAAACTATTTCATCTAGAGCCTCAAACTATTTCATCTAGAGCCTTAAACTACCCGCACAAATTAAGCCTATATGGAGCGCGCATTGACAAATATACAACCTGCATTACAAGTCAGCGATACAACTATGCAGTAATAATTATAATTATAATAATGATAAATAATCTTACAGTGGCATTCATATTTTTTTTAAATTAATTTCCACATATCTTCTATTTCGATTTTGTGTTCCCATAAATGAGAAAATATAGTTCCCCGCGCCATGGAGTCATAATCACCCTCAAAACTAAAAAGGTTAATAGAAATGTGAATAAATAGATGATTAATAATAATAATAATTGAAAGTTACATATAGGTGGACAGCTCGGTTGATTTGTAAGCCGCCTCTGGATGGTTCAACTCGGCGTGCGGTTAGTGTGTGCAGTACTGGTGTTTACAGGCCCTCGGTGCGCGGCCATGGCTGCAGCTTTGTGCTGCTGCTCTCCACTCCCTGATCCACACACACACACACACACACACACGTTCAGAGAGGTGACAGCTCCACTAGACACATGAGCATTTAGCCATGAATAACTGTGACACGGTGCGACTCATCGGTGGGAAGGTGTTTAGTAAGATCCTGAACACTCTGTCAGTCTTCACGCACAGTCAGTCCTCTAACATCAGCTGACATCAAGCTCTAAATCTTGGCTCACGCTTGTTTGTGTCTCCGGTGTCTCCCAGACTTTCAGTCCGTCAAGAGCTCAATGTGAACCTCATCCTGCAAGAACCTGGAGACTGATGGAAACGAACTCTCCACAGAAAAATCCAGAGGAAATATCCAGATGCAGGACGACAACTGAGGAATAAGTGAGGGCCTTGTAATGGCACAACCTGGTGATATAAACCTGGGAAATAGACTCTAGTGCTGATGTGATGTTTGCACCACATTGTTGTGCGTAATTTCAAAGAATCCCTCCCACGCTAAAAAGAATAAGTTTGAACCTGTCACAGGCCTCACACACAAATAAACCGGCTACCTTCAGCTTTTCCTACTGGCTCACTTGAGTGTGTTAAATGTCCTGGAGATATGTGCGCGTGAGTGAGCATGTGTGCGCGCGCGTGTGTGCGGGGGGCTCCTCTCTGGACGAATCCGTTCCGTGTTGCGCGCTTCGAGTCCGCCTCTCCGCGCCCCTGCTTCCCCATTGACGCACTTTTTAAGCGTCTTCCCCCTCTCTCCACCTTAAGGCGAGCAGCAGCGGCGGCGACCAATCACCATGCCATTACAGCCTTCAGAGGAAGCTGTTTATGGGACTGCAGCGCTAATTAGGCTCATGAACTAACAAATCTGCCTGCACGAACCCGGCGAGGAAAACGATCACATCCATGGATTAGTCTGGGAGTAAGCCGAGCACTTTTTATTTTCTGGCTTCCTCGGCACTGCAGCCTTTTCCCTCTCCAACTTATTTTTGTACTGCGCAGAAAACTTTCCCCTTTTCTTGGGTGTGGAGTATTTTTTAAGCGAGAGCGCCGCGACGACTTCAACTTAAACTGGGGAACCTGGACTATCAGACCATGTTTCAACCTACACCCAAGAGGTGTTTCACTATAGAGTCTTTAGTGGCGAAGGATAATCCTGTACCGGCGTCCCGCTCCGAGGAGCCCATCAGGCCAGCGGCTCTCAGCTATGCAAACTCCGGACAGATGAACCCCTTTTTGAACGGCTTTCACTCCGGCGGCAGGGGCGTCTACTCTAACCCGGACTTGGTGTTCGCCGAGGCGGTCTCTCATCCGCAAAACTCCGTCCCGGTGCACCCGGTGGCCCCGCCGCACGCTCTGGCCGCTCATCCGCTTTCCTCGTCACACAGTCCGCACCCTCTTTTTGCCAGCCAGCAAAGGGACCCTTCAACTTTCTACCCGTGGTTATTACACAGATATAGGTACTTGGGTCACAGATTTCAAGGTAAGTGAGCAAAGAGCATGCTTCGGGTTTTGGGTTCACTTTTACGCACGAGACACGCCGAGCGGCTGGAGAGTGCAGACAGATTATTCCCCTCTCTCCATCAGTAGCCACACAGAGCAGACTGTGAGTGGAATTAAAAATGTGTGGATGTGTAGCTGACCAGTTTTAAAGACAATCAGCTCCAATCCTCAGGCCCAAACAGACACGTTTTTAAAGATTAATTTAAAGTGGCCCTGTGATAATTTCATCAATTATAATAGAAAGCAGAATAATGTGGCGTTAAGAGATAATTGTTGCCTCGGTTTATTCTGCAGCTGTCTGCTGCTGGAAGTGTCTGCTCAGTGTTAAAAAAAGAGCACTCGTGATTCTGACATGTTTGTACACTGTTAGTCTGCAGGTTATATATAGCATATGATTTATATCCATGCGCAAAAAACAAACAGAAACTATTTCACTGCTGCCGGTTTAGTTTTTAAAATATCTATTTAACATTTTAACTGCAAAGATATATTTTTATTTTAAAGGATACAATTAGTAAAACAATATGGCTGATAATTGAGGAGACTGCTGCTAATTTTTCTAGAGCTGACATGGGTCAAATTTGCGGTAATTTTTAATAAAATAAAAAAATGCACTTGCCCTGCGAAAATTCGATTATTATTTGTTGCCTCTTGTTTCTTATTTTAACGTATTCAACTGTTGTTTTCTGGTTAAATTAAGCTGATATGTCATATTTGCAGGAAATTATCCTAAATTAATTTCTTCTGTGTTTTGTCTCCTGCTCATTCAAACGTTTTTATGCTGTTTGCGATTTTGTTTACAAAGACTATTTTGGAGCTAATTTAATTAGGCCCAGGATTATACCTCCGCTTTGTTTTGTTTCCCTCTGTCCTTTATGCGGTGGCCTCACAAATCTTACATGAACACAGTTTAATTAACAATTATTGAAATACACGCTTTTTGACAAATGATCTGCTTTTATTGACGGATGTCCAGCCTCTCCTCAGACATTATCATCGTGACATATTTCCAGTCTTGCCCTCGGTGCGCCATTGTTCCACAGTTGGGCGCACAGGCCTGCTGCTTGTTCTGTGATGTTGTAAAAAAAAATAGTATTGTAATAATAAGGGGAAAAGGCAGATGATGACACGCGCTGGTTTTGTTGCTCGTCTGCAGGTAATGAAACGAGTCCAGAGAGCTTCCTTTTGCACAACGCGTTGGCCAGAAAGCCCAAAAGAATCCGGACAGCGTTTTCACCCTCGCAACTCCTGCGGCTCGAACACGCGTTTGAGAAAAACCATTACGTGGTGGGAGCAGAAAGAAAACAGCTCGCCCACAGCCTTAGCCTCACAGAAACTCAGGTAAGAAACACCTGCTTTTTTCTTTCCCTTTTAACTTCACATTGTCTTTTTTATTTCTCCTGCGAGCAAATGGTCTTTTTTCATTGTTATTTCGATGCTGCTGTCCAGTGTGTTGTGTGATGTTTGGACTAAACAGGCCCACTTGCATTTTATAGTCATTTTTATTGTCATCATAAAAATATATTTCTCACATTATGGCTGGTGCAGACTGAATGTGTTGTTTTAGTGTGTTTTTTTTTTTACTTCTTTCTGAACGTGCATGGCACCGTGCGTCATGCGCCTTTAAAAAGGGACCATGTATTGACGCATAAAGATAAAAAGGCGTAGTATCTTTTAAAACAGAACCATTTAAAATAATCAGCTACCT